TTAGTTTGGTGAGCCACAACGTCTTGCTGTCAGTCAATGGCTACGCTCGCGTCAAAGACTGGAGACCAACGGTCCAGGACGGGCGTGGCAACTTTGGCTGACTTGATCTGATTGGGCAGGAATACAGTCTACTACCCAATGGTGGAGTCTCCATCTCCGTGCTGAGAAAAGGCGTTCAGGTAAGACAACGCCCCTTTCATTAATGTGGTGATGAAAATCAAATGTGGATTTATTTTTCTTTTGCCTATTTCCCTGTATTAAGAGTCCTTAATTTATTATGGCTTGCTAAATTTCAAAAAGTATAGCCATAAAGAACATATACATCTTTAACAAGTAGCTTTGGGATATGGGAAAACCTGGTTAATTTTTAGTATGGTTACATCTTTCCACTGACTACAGATCCTGCTTAGCCAAATTGTCATAATTAAATATCCTTTTTATGGTTCATTTCTACCCATTTTCTATCACGCTGTCCCTTAGTTCTGCTAAATACTAATTATTGAAGACAGTTGGTATTGTACAGTTAATTTTCAGGTCACAAAATCTATTGTGTATATACGTTATTTATATTTAACTTGCACTTTAATCTTGTGAATTTTTCCTACATATAGCTGGTAATTCCATTAGCTGTCCAGGATGATCTGGACAAAGCTGTGGAGCTCCTTGATCGCAGTGTTCACATGAAGAGCCTCAAGATTCTGCTTGTTGTTCATGGAAACACACAGGTGTGTTAAGGCATTGTGTAAATTTGTATATTGCTGTAACACTTTTCCTCTGTTGTTTGCCCATGACCCCTAACAATCTGATCCCTCTGGAAAATTGCCATCTGTCCCCTTCCTTTATGGAGGAGTCTTTTTCTTTGGGTTCTAGTTCCAGAAAGCCACAGAACTCTTTATTTTCATTAACAAGTAATCTTTGATCAAATCTACAAAAAAGATTTGAGTCAAAATTATTCTTTGAATAATGTCTGCATGAATTCTCATTCTCTGACTTGTAACACATTAAGTTTGGTTATTTTCATGTGCACATTATCTGTATTTGTTTGTGTGTGTGTGTGTGTAATATAATAAAATTTGATAATGATACAGTACATGTTGCATGTAATAAGCCATGTTTTGTATGTTCACAGAATATTAATGAAATATAAATTGCAATCAGAAAACTTGTTATATAATACCATGTTTTTGCTTTAAAGGTTACAAATATTTTTTTAATAGTTGCCTCATTAGAACAGTAGGAGAGAAAGATTGTAGGCAAAGCCCAAAACAATTTAAGCTATATTTTGATTGTTGATAGCTATCCTTCTTAGTGAGATGTGTGCAGAAATACTCCCAGGTGTGCCAAAAACTTTATTTTCCTATTTCTGAGTAATCTCAATACATTTTAACCTTTCATTCTTGCTATCATTATAATCTTAACATTTGGAATGTGTGCACTTGGGAAATAATACTATATTATAATATCCTAGTTGAAAAGTGGAAAATTTGGGGGGAAATCCAGTATCATCAAACTGGAATTTTGTGCCGTGGGTTTTTGAAAAACCCTGTTCATCTGCGGTTCCATCTTCATAAAATTTGTACCAGAAGTCCTCAATCCCTCAGAGCCAAATTTGAGGACTACGGAAAGGAGAAAATTAACTCCACCCATTATCATTTTAGGAAGTGGAAATGGAACGTTGGATGTCATCCATATTTATGTCAAAATGTTGCTTCTTTTTATAAGGGTAGAGATTTTTTTTAAGCATAAATAAATAATCATACTTTTCTTTCTAGAATAACATGGATCCCTTGTCATCATTGGAAGATTTGGATAATACAGTTTTCAGAGTAACAGAAAAGAAAAACAGGAATTCTGTAATAGGTAATAAGACTTCATATTTTAAATTTTAAACTGGTGGTTTATTTATTTATTTATGAAACATTTACCCTTCTTTTCATGCTGCCACAGTAATTTGCAAAAAGCAAGCAGTACAAATATTGCTGCACACAAAGACCAATGATTAGTGTGCAGTATGAACCTTGAATAACTGAAAACTCATAAGAACATTGAACAAGTTAAAACTAAATTCATGTAATACCAGAATTATAACGAGAACAAAGTACCACACTCAAAATCTCTGATTATGGGAATACAGGCAGTTCTCAACTTGAACAGTTCATTTAGTGACTGTTCGAAATCCCAACGGCACTGAAAAAAGTGACTTATAGCCATTTTTCACACTTATGACTGTTGCAACATCCCCATAGTCACATGATCAAAATTCAGACACTTGGCAATTGATTCATATTTCTGACGATTACAGTGTCTTGGGGACAAGTAGTTACCTTTTAAGTGACCATCTGACAAAGTCAGTGGGAAAACCAGATTCACTTAACAACTGCGTTACTAACTTAATAACGGCAGTGATTCACTTAACAAACATGGGAAGAAAGGTCATAAGATGGAGCAAAATTTACTTGACAAATGTCTTGGGCTCAATTGAAGTCATAAACTGAGGCTACCTGTAATTTTAAATCTTAGTTCTCTCTACAAATATGTTTTATGTGAATACCGTTAACTCACATTTCTTGAATATAGATACAAAATAGGTTGGTTACACATGGGTATTTGCACTGTTTTGAATTCTTATGATTCTGTATCATCAGGTGAAATATAAAGCACATTCAGATTTTTACATGTTTTAAAAAAACAAATTCATAAAATGATTGGGAAAAGAGATACTGTAGAAGAAAGTTATATTTAGAGAATTGAGTAAAAATAAGATTATTGCACATCAATTTATATATGCACTTCTCTATCCAGAAAAATTGATTAAGTAATTCCCAGATTCTTAAACTATGGACTAGTAAAGAAACCTATCAAAGAACTTATATTAGTTAGACAATCTTTTTACATGATGTCTATTTCTTGGTTTTGTATGTTTTACTGTTTAATACGCACACGTTTTTGATGTATGCCAATCTTGTTTGCTAACATGGTGTTCTCTTATATTTAAATGTGTTATGATTACGTAGCTGAATTTTAACAGAACTGGAAAATGCTGCTTTAGATTCACTAAATAAAATTAAGGATTTGCTATAAGGCATTAGTTGTTTCTGGGTTTAAATATATACATCAGCCATTGTCCTTTCCCCCCCCTCTACAGGTTATATAAAAATGCTTTTCTTTTGATGTGATATAGTCTCAATGGCTATAGCTTTTTCAAATTCACTTTTTAATTCCTTTCAGGGCCTGCCCATAATTATTATACTTACACATCTAAAAGTCAACAAAATTGAAGCATGCAAATTAATTGTGTTGGTAGCTAAAATTATTGAAGATAAAGCTACACATTTTAAAGAGCTTTATAGAAATTGGTTAGAATCTGGTGCAGATGTAGAAAATCCTTTTAAATTGCTGAGATTTAAGAACAGCTTCCGTGTAAAAATATTATTTTGTCTTTTTTCACTTTTAAGAAGGACAGATGGATTTCTGTAGGTTTTGAAATGAAAGATTTATAGGACTGGTATGTAGACAGCCAGCTATATTCTTTTCTGTTAGCTGCCAGATTGCAGAAAGGCTGCTAGAAAGAAATTTTAAAAGGGTCAGTCATAGCACATGAATATAAGTTGGTTCTAAGTGGGAAACAGTTGATTTACTGAAAATCTTGTAATCTTATCTGGTTCATTTAGTAGTTTCCAAAAGAAGACTGAGAATGTTGCTTGGGGGAAAATGCTTTTAGTCTGAGGTATCTGCCAAAGAATCTGACAATCTTTTAAGCACTGTTTGTGAATGATTCAAATACGTGTGATGAAAAATATAGGAAGTGTATTAAAAAATTAGAAAATTATGGAAAATTAGACAACCAAGATCCATAATACATTATTAAACTCATTTTTCTAGATATATAAAGAAACGCAAATATTACACATATATTGTGTAATAAAAGAGCTATGTTTATGTAAAGGGATTAAGATGCATTTGCCTACATTAGAATATGTTGATATTGTTTATTTTTTAATCAGTAATTATGCCATTTCCCCTTGCTCTTGTTTTAACATCCTTTAAAGTTGAGTGTTTTGATGTTTCAACTGGTATGAACATTCCATATCAATTTAAAAAAATCCAAAATAGGATCAGGATGAAAAAAATGTGGAAATAGTGACTAATATTTTATATTTACTGTGCAATTTATGTCACTTTGTAGACCAGTATTCTACAATTTTGTATTCTGTGAGGGAATTATATATATTCAGCATGAATTAAGGGGAAAGGTATTTTTCTATAGCTATAGTTTTATCAGCAAAAACAGCAGGACATCAAAAACCACTCTGTTGGAAAATATCAATATTAAGCAGAAGTAAGGAATATCATCCTGAAATACTGTGTGAATGAAAAAGGATGATGTTCTGAAGCATTTTTTTAAAGTGTACATTCTTCCCTGTTTGTATCAGTGTATAAAACATATCTCCCCCTGACAGTTTATATACCACATAGAAAATTACTGAAATGCATAATGCATTTTATATTTGAAATTGTTCTATATTGAACTAAAGTTGTTTGCTTACCAGCATACGTAATTTAAAATAATAGAAAATAACTGAAAGATCAGAAGAAAGGAATATTGTTTGATTTAAAAATTAAACTAATAATTGACTCTTGATGGTAAGCTTGTTTATAATCTTTTTCCATTTCTTTTAAAATTCAACAGGCTATACTCGTGACAGCAGCTCTCCTCCTCCAGGATACATTCCAGATGATCATGTGGCACGGAATGGATCATTCACTAGTATCAATAGTGAGGGCGAGTTCATTCCAGAAAGAGACTTAGTAAGCATTCTCGTTAAAGGATCTTCTACATATCTGGTAGCTTGAAGGGTTTTCTTGGGATCCCCCTTTTTCTCCTTAAATTTTGGATTAACATTGGATTCCCCCATTCCGTTTATTGATGTGGCTTGAACTAACTGAAACTTTGCCGTACATTTTTGTGCTTTTCTTGCAGATGTTGGATCCATTATCACTGAGTAGCCCTGAAAATTCTGGCTCAGGAAGTTGTCCGTCACTTGATAGCCCTCTAGATGGGTGAGAACCATATAATCTGTTTTTCTGCTGTGCTCTGCAAGTCATAGTTATATTCAGGAGGCTCTTAGTTATTACGAATTTAATATTGCAATGTTTTGTGTTTCTAGGGAGAACTACCCTAAGTCCCGGATGCCAAGAGCTCAGAGCTATCCTGATAACCATCAAGAATTCTCTGGTAGATAAAAACAAATGGACAATGTTTCCAATGTTATTGTTATAAAGTTTTATATTACAATGTTAAGTATCTATAGCTTCACAATATAGTGTTTGAGTAGGTCAAAGACTATGGTAGCAAATGCAGAAATGTAACTAATACAGCTATATAATCAAAGAAATATCTAACAGTTAAATCAGAAAATAGCAATCATTGCTGAGATGATAAAAAGGATCTTGATCTGGGTTTTTTTTTCATTTTTAGTGGAAATATTTATAATTTATATTTTTTTCAAGGTCATTTGGATTTATGCAACTATTTTTCTAGCTCTGTAAACATATGATGTTTACACATATAAAATACTGACCATATTGATTTAAGTCATTGCAACCTTCACAATTGGAACTAAGTAAGAATTTTAAAGCTTTCAAGTACTGGAAAGTTCTATTCAAATCAAGATAGAATTTAATGTTAATATACTCTGAAGTTGTACTGAATTTCCATTTGAACTGGAAGTTTAATCTAGTGGAGCAAAGCATCTTAAAACCCTCAAAAGATTATAATAAACTCTAAAAGATATGGGAGATTTTTTTAAAATTGATATTTTAATATTGTAATCTTATTCTAAAAGCTTTAAAAGATCACAAAGTGGGCTTCAGGTGGAATAAATGTATGTTTCCACAATGAAAGAGAATGAGCAGAACCCATCATGCTTACCAAGAAGATAATAAAATAATATTCCTTGAGCAAACTGGGATTTAAATGATGGAATTTGTGTACATGTATAGCATAATATAGTACAGGGGTCGCAAAGGTGCTTTTTCAAAAGGCAACTGGAAAGAAAGTTCAGTTGCCTTTTAAAAAAAGCTCCTTTGGGACAACCATGACCTGGATGACTGAGAATCTTCATAAACATATAGTATAATAGTGTAAAGTCTATAGTATTCATAAATGAAGAGTCACCATGCAAATAGTAAAAGTATATGAATATAAAGAAAAAAATATTTCTGGGACATAAAATATGTATTAAAATTAGTATGTTGTTTTTAAAAAATCAATATCTTCTTTGTATTCTGCCCCTAATTTAGGAATGACATAGATACAGCATATATTATGAAAAAAGCATAGTCCTTTACATATGCTTTTCCTGATTAGAAATTGGGGATGATACATAAACCTTTTTATTCAGTTTTGGCTAGTTAATGCTGTTTAATGGAATAAAGCAAAAATATTTTTTTCAGATTATGACCTCCCAATATTTGAAAAGTTTGTCAAAGGTGGAACTTATCCTCGGTATCATATTTCATACCAACATCAAGAATACAATGATGGTGAGTTGTGGGTCATCTGGTTTATATTTTTCTTCAAATTTTTGGTTTGTTTTACTGTAAATTAAGAGAGCATCATTTTTGTGTATTAATTTTGAATTTATAAATCTTTGTTTTGTCAGCAGGATCTTTTAAGGGTTGTCTTAGAATAGCACAATGAAACCTTCTACTTGTGACCACATACAACCTGCTGCTAAGTTTTTTTTTACAGTTCCAGAACATATCTGCCTACCCTTGATTGCATTGCCAGTAAAATACCAGTTTGTGGAGGAACATAAAATTTTCATTTAGAAGCACAAGATAAAATTTACAGTGGTTCTTAAGCTTTTAAGAGGCTTAAGGCACCTATTCTTAGCTATCAACATCCCTCTCTCCCCCTGGACTCTTTTTCTCTTGTGCCATCACTATGTTTTATCACCCAACAACACTCAAAATAAGGAGGGGAAGTGTGTTTACCAGCCCTAGGATCTGTTTCACACTGTTGGGATAGTTTTTGAAATAGTATGGGAGACGGTGCAAAGAGTTGCAGAGAAGTTGGAAAAATGTTCTCCTTCCTAAATAACACCCCCAAAATATTTCTTGTTTTACCCAGATGTGCCCTTCCATTTATGGAAGAGAATGGAAAAGATAAAGATCTAATAGGATCCACAATAAAAGAATGTCAAAATATTTTCAATGCTTTTCTTTGCAACTTCTAGTGGCAAGGCCTATGTTGTTCTGGAAAGTTTTCCAGCTTGTTAGAGAAGCTTTTCAGTAGATGACAGTGAGAAGGAATGATGCACTAGAGAACCTTCTTTGCTTCCTTCTGGAGCATTTCATGAGTTGAGTTCGGTTCATGGCAGCTAATTTTAGTTCCTTGTGAATGCTGCCTTTTGTTAAATCCACTATTTAAAATAAACACCTAGAGTTTCATCAAGTATGTTATTTAAAAGATCAGCAAGGCTATTACTTTTCATAGAGCTGAAGCTATTATTTCTTACCACCAATAAAAATATTACAGTATTATATTTTAAAACTTCCATATTTAGAAAATTGAAATCTATTTTCCAAGAAAATGTGCTTGCTCTGGTCCTTTACAAAAGTATCTACTTTGGTTATCATAAATATATATATATATATATATATATCATAAATATATATATATATATATATATATATATATATATATATATATATATATATATATATATATATATATATATATATATTTATTTATTTATTTATTTATTTATTTATTTATTATCAAGGGAGGCTGTGATTAATGTTTATGATTGCCTCTCAGGTCTATAACATATTTCCAATTCTGTCTAGTGATCTTTACTGTCAATTTCATCGAGACCAATGTGCTGAGAAACATTGTACTTCATAATACTATGGTGTTGGATTCACTTATAATTTCTGCAGGTCGTAAAACTTTTCCAAGAGTTAGAAGGACCCAAGGAAACTGCTTACGCACTCCAGTAAGTTTCAGCCCAACGGATTATTCATTGAGCACAAGCAGTGGGAGCAGCATTTTCACTCCAGAATATGAAGATGGACGGATGCGGAGAAGAGGAAGTGACATAGAAAATCCTACCTTGACAGTAATGGACATCAGCCCTCCCAGCCGCTGTAAGGAGAAAAATTCTATCTATTTCCTTGTAATCCCTCATCTGAACTATAGTTCAGTTGTTGAAATAACTAGGTTTTATATAGAATTGCGAGGAAAATAAATCCTCAGAGGAATGGGAGCGTATCAGAAGAATAAACTAAAATCAGAAAATCTGACATATAGAAAGGGCCCTTGAAGTGTCTAGTCCACAGTAAGCCTTATCAGGAAATTCCTACCGTACATGTTTCTTTTACTAAGACAATAATTATTTCTTGAAGATAGTAATAGAAGAAGGATAGAAAATAACCTAAAATCTATTCATTGTTAATATGTGTGCTTACATTTATTAAGTGTGTGTGTGTGTGTGTATGTACATATGTGTGTGTGTACACACACACACACACACAAATTTGGAGAAAGCTATCACATTATATACTTACTAATAACACTGCAAATTTATCAAAACCAGGAATTGTAAGTCTATTCACAGGGTAAATGTTTATATTTTAAAATAAAATAAAATATGCTGTTTTGGGAGCTTTTTTGAAGTGTCAGAAAGGTGTCGGTCTGCTTTTCCCTTGTATAGTTGAATATATCAGATTTCTCACATTTTGTTGCAGCCCCACGTGCTCCAACTAATTGGGTACTTGGTAAACCACTTGGCCAAGGTGCATTTGGTAGAGTCTATCTATGCTATGATGCAGACACAGGACGAGAACTAGCTGTTAAACAAGTTGAGTTTGATCCTGACAGCCCAGAGACGAGTAAGGTAAGATTTCGGAAAGGAAGTATCCTCTTTCTCTGCCTTTCTGATATGTACACATATAATGGTTAAAATAAATTGAACTTATTTTTTAGAATCATGCTTTTTAAAAACATATTAGTAAAATCAAAAGAAGCTGAGGAAAGTGTTATGGAACCTGAATATTACACAAATGTCACTAAAAGATTGATGTTATTCATATGTGAATTCTGACCGTTTGGCTTTTTTCCATGGGTGAAATACTCTTTTGACATGAGTTGGTATCTTCTTGTTTAGTGGATTTTTTTTTCTAATTTATCCTCCATTTTCCCCCCAAATATTTCGGAGCAAACTTTAAGAGTCTATGGAAGGGAGGGGAATTGTCCTTCCCATTCTAGAAGTCAAAACTACTTTCATATGGAAATAATAATAAGATTATCCCCTTAAAAAATGAAGACATGGAGTTAATGAAAGGTTTAAATATTAAGCTGTACAATGTATACCAATATATCAATTAGGTTTTTTCTCTAAGAATATTCAGAAATTTCCTATCAATATAAGCTATTTATTAATAGTTTTCTTGTTACTTATGAATTGGAGTCTTTCACATGTGCTCAGATATGGTGGACCATTCTGTTTTTAACACACTGTACTTCAAACTATGGTACTGTTGAGAGAAAAATGAACTGGAAAATTAAATGAATGACAATTGTAAAGTGCATTTTCATTACTTTGTGATATTCGAATATGTAATTTTGGATTCAATACTAAGTACAAACTAGAGAACCTATTGAAACCTACAGTATTGCCAATAACATTTAGGAATTATATAAAATTCATTTTTTGTTCAGCAATTTGATCATTGTTTTAAATAAGAATAGATAATTCAAACAAGGTCCTCTGAGGACCACTGCTATGCAATTCTTATTGCAATTTAGGGGAGCATTACAAATTCTTTGATATTGTTTAAAGAGACTTGTGGAAGCTGTTTCCATATAAATACATAAAACTGAAGTGTTCATTTAATTATGAAAATAGTAAAGCAGCTAAAATGGTTTGTAGTGATTGATAATAATGAGCTAGCAATAATAATTTTTAAATTATTCAGTTTAGATTAAATTTAAAAAATACTTGCATCAAATATTTTTGGTATGATTTAGTGCTAGAAATCTGCTCTTATTCTGATATGTTACTTTTAGGAAGTAAATGCCCTTGAATGTGAGATTCAGCTTCTGAAAAATCTGCTACATGAAAGAATTGTTCAGTATTATGGCTGCTTAAGGGACCATCCGGAAGGAACACTTTCTATATTCATGGAATATATGCCAGGGGTAAGCCGCTGACCCACAGGGACACAGTAAATTTCTGCAGTGTGTGCATGCCCATATGTAGAAATCAAGTCTGCAAATAGAGTGATGTATAAGATACTGTGTAAAAATACTGAAAAGTGCTTTTGTACTAAGTTTCTATAAATATTTTCTCCAGTTTTTCACTAGCATCTACAGGTCAACATCTTGCTATCTGCATTCTGTTCTTGACATATCTATTGTCTAACAAGATGCATATTTAATTATTGATTTTTTCCCACATGCGGGAAGCATCATATTAAATATTTCTATCATAGTGAAAATAAGCATGGCTGATAGTAGATTGTTACGGGCATATCTGAAGTTTAAAAGAAAACAAATAATTTTAAGTTATTAACTATTCTTTTAAATATTATAAAAAAGTTTGGTACTTGTAGCATTCTGTTATCTTTCTAGTATGAATCACAGATATACATTCCAGTAAGAATCCGGATTTAAATTTTAAATCCTATTTCCCCTAAGTCAGTGGTTCTCAACCTTTTTAATGCCGCGACCCCAACCGGTCGTAAGTCGAGGACTAAACCGGTCGTAAGTCGAGGACTAAACCGGTCGTAAGTCGAGGACTAAACCGGTCGTAAGTCGAGGACTTTCCCTGCCCGGGAGCGCCACGCATGCGTGGTTCTGCCCCCTGCGCCAGCCGAGGCGTAGCTGGCAAGCGGCAGAGATGGAGCAGGCCGACCACCAGCTGGCCCAGCCCAAGAGAGGTAAGGCACCCGCCGGAAAAGGGGAAAAAATGGCGGACAAAAAAATGGCGGACAGCCTTGCTTGGTGACCCCCGTGAAATGGTCGATCGACCCCAAATGGGGTCCCGACCCACAGGTTGAGAACCACTGCCCTAAGTTGGTGTGCTGAAAGAGAGCTATGTAAGTGAAGGTGAGATGGAGAGAGATTTCCAAGACCAGTTTATTCTATTGGTTAAGGGCCCAGGCTAGTAAGTAGGAGACTGTGAGTTCAAGTCTCACCTTAGCCATGAGAGCCAGCTGAGTGACTTTGGGCCAATCATTTTCTCTTAGCCCAACTCATCTCAAAGGGTTGTTGTTGTGGGGAAAATAGGAAGAAGAAGGTGTGTTGGATCTGTTTGCTGCCCTGAGTTACTTGTAAAAATAATAGGATACACATAAATAAAAATAACTGCATTTGCAGATTCAAACAGTGTTTTAAGTGCTGTAATTTTTATATGGTGGACTTGTAGAAAACTTCTGTTAAGATCTTTTACTATAGCAAGTTTCTTTCACTGTAGGGCTCAATTAAAGATCAGTTGAAGGCATATGGTGCTCTCACAGAAAATGTGACTCGGAAGTATACCCGCCAGATCCTGGAAGGAGTTCACTATTTGCACAGTAACATGATTGTACATAGAGATATTAAAGGTACTGATGGGGGCATTGTTATAAATTTGCTTGGTGAATTGTAAATATTTCTTCCTAAGTCTGTGAAGGATTGGTTTCTTTTTTCCCCCTAGTATACTACTGAAAATAGCATTTTATTGAAAACCTTTCCTGCACTTTTCCAAAACTTTTAATTGTAGATGTTTCAAGTGAGTGTGATAGAAAAAAATGTTAATGTATGATATATATAATACAATACAATACAATGTATAATTGTAATATTATATATATATATATATATATAATATTGGTTAATAAAGCAGCAAGCCTGCGTTCAAGACCCGAGTGATGCCACGAGAGGGGTGAGCTCACGTCCTTTGCTTCAGCTCTTGCTGGGGACATGAAAGGAGTCCCCAACTGGGTGTCTTCCAGGCAGCAGTGATGTCACCAGCTAATCCTTTCAAATTAATCATATTAGATATTAGATCATCACTGGATATTCTAGTTTTTCAGTCTGATAAAATTGAAATGGTAATATCGGTAGTGCTAAACAAATCTAATAAATAATCTCCAAGAACTCCTAGTCATAAATAGCAACAAAATAATAAACATACATCACCTTAATTAAAACACCCACCATAAGTAGTAATAAATGTTTTATTAGTTGCTGAAAAATCTTCTGATATGGTACAAATTAGCTTTTGTTAATTAACCGTGAGAAAACATGGGTTTCCTTTCATTTTTATTTCTTGGATAAACACAGACAGGGCTGTTGTGAGATCTGCCCAGGATTACTGGTTGCAGTGAAGTCAGGCTAGAACTAAAGTTTCCCTTGCAAAGTTACAAGTTTTTCCCCTTCGTGTTCCTCCCTCCCATTGTTCAGACTGTCTGTGTCCAGTAGCATCCTGGTGCAATGTTTGGAGAATTGATTTGATATTAGGTGCGTCTTGAAACAACTGCACATTCTTTCCCAGGCCAGCCATCCTTTGGGCATCTGGATTAGTCTGGTTTTCACATATCTGGTTTCTATCAGTGCTATTCCCTCCCCACTTTGCTTCCTTTTACTTCCTTCTGCACTTCTTCCCCAAATGGCTCTGCCCCATTCCCCCATTGATGGCAGGATGCCAGCATCTTAGTAGAGCATAGAAAAGATGGCAGAGATGACAGCTGGGGGGGCTGGGGGCTGGGAAGCTTTGTCCAGTTTTGGCTGCAGTATAAGTTGCAACTGTACATGAAATGGGATCAATAAAATATTTCAAGAAAACCTTTCAGATCCCCCCCCCCAACCCACAATTTTCATGAAGATAAATAAGGGAGGAAAGGAAACACATTAGACTTGCAAGATTATATTATGGTAGCTGTTCTAAAAAAAAGTAGCTTTCGGTCTATCAATGTCTGTTGCATGGTCTTGCCCACCTTGTAGGGCTGATACTAGCATCTTTGTGCAATTCATGATGTAAATTTTGATCCTAAAGATCTACATAGCCTGTTGCTGAAGTACTAAGTACCAATTGGAGATGGAGGCACAAAAATGTTTTTTCACATGTTGGTACTTTGGAACCCTTACCCTGAGAAATTCAAGTCAGCCCATTTTATTAGTTTTAGTACATTTTAAACTCCTATTTAAGATGGTATTTGAAATTAGAAAAGACCATCTTTTTATTTGTTTGCTGATGTTTGTTGAAACATATTTTTATATTGTGATTTTAATTTTGATCAGTTGTCATGGATGCTTTATAGCAAATTACTTATTATTCACTGAGAGCCAATTGATGGCCTGAGCTAAAGTTAAATAAATAAATAACTAGGAGTCAAGTGCAGGAGATCTAATGCTCATGTCGATGATTACCTGCCAACAGCTGGTACATTTTGGATTAATAGAAGCTTCTGGATGATCTTCAAAGGGAGCCCCATGTAGATCACATTGCAATGTTCCAGATAAATGATAATGTGGGTATGAGTCACTGTTTAGACTAGTATTTGAGGTGTCAAAGTTTGGATTGAAGACACCTTCAGAGGAAAGATTGTCCACTATGATTCCTTGAGGTCAGGGTTTAATTTCTTGTTTAATATTTGGGCTGTAATTAAAAGTGTATACATACAATTTTACATATGTTCATATTTATACATATTTATTTCAGATTCTAACTGAATTATTTAGTTTGCCTATAATATTTTTGTACACTCACTAAATTACAGTCTCCATTAAAAATGTACAGGTGGTCCTTGAGTTATAATGGTGTCTGCCAATTACATTCGTAACCCGAGGATTTGTTGGAGTGAATCACGTAAAATGAACATGAAAACTCCCTGCTTTCACCCACGCATTCGCTAATCGAATGTGCAGGTCGTTAAGTGCACATGAGGTATCTCAGGGTGGGGAAGGCCATGGAGGGGCCTAGTGAGGGAACAGACCACCTGCTTAAGACCACCCAAGGCCTCCCCCTACCCCCTGAAATACCTCATGCTCCCCACAATTGCTTCCCCCCCATCCTGCTGCGTTGGGTCTCCACCGGCACTTAATCTCTGCAAGAGCGGAGGGGGGGCTGAAGTCCTGCGAGATCACGGCCACCAGAAGCTTTCAGTCTCAGCTCGAAAAGTGCTTGCAAGCTGACTGGAGGCTCGAAGCAACACAATTTCACTGCCCCAAAGTCTCTTTTCGTGTGCAAACACTTTTTACGCCAAGACTGGAAGCCTTTGGGGGAGGCTGACCGAAGCTGCCCACTGCTTCAGAAGTGGCGGGCAGCCTCAGTGAATCAGAGAAGCTGAGCAGGGCTCGCTCAACCTGCTCCTCCCTCTGCTATTATAGCTCTGCTTTTGGAGTGCAGGGAGCAGGCAAAGAAACCTTGGCAGAGAGGCTGGAGAGGAGACAGCTTGCTAGATCTTCACAAAATAAGTGAGTCTCCATAGGCACTGGGCGGCGGCGGGGGGGAATAGACAGGGCAAATGTTGCAGTGCCTCCGCGGTCATTCATAAGAGTGAACAACTGCCATGGTGCTGCAATGTTTGTAACCTCAAGACTGTCGTAAGTACTGGGGGGATTATATTGCAACTTCAAATTGTTGCTAAGTGAACTGTCATAAACACGAGGATTACCTGTACTTATTTTGTGTATGATTCTACTGGCCTTATATGATTACACAGCAATAGCTGTTATTAATCCAAAGCAGGATCAATTTTTTGCCATTACATCATTTGTTTATATTTCTTTCAGGAGCAAATATTCTTCGTGACTCTGCAGGCAATGTTAAGTTGGGTGATTTTGGTGCCAGCAAGCGGCTCCAAACAATTTGCCTTTCTGGTACAGGAATGAAGTCTGCTACGGGGACTCCATACTGGATGAGTCCAGAAGTGATTAGTGGAGAAGGATATGGAAGAAAAGCAGATATTTGGTAAGTCTTATATTATTTTGCACCAGGAACAAATTGGAAATAATTTCTTGCACACTACTTTGGGAGCACCTAGATGTACCCACAATACTGCATTAAGATTAGGTCTGGGACTGATAACAGTGGAGATCAGAATTTGGTTTATGAAAATTACATATTACTTCAGGTTGAAATATCAACAATCTGGTTTCATCCCTGATTTGTGCATAACACTCAAATTTTATACATAAAGTAGAGCAGCAAATGCCTAATATAGGTCTAAATCCCTAACTACCATTGAACTTTCTAAGGCAAAGAAAAATGTTAAACAATACCTCTAGGACATTGTCATCCGAAGTGATAGGAGAAGTTAGAGAAAGATCTTTAATCATTGGCAATCTAGAAAGTCTCCATAAGTTGACAATCTCTGCAGGTTTATCTAAGCCAAACTGAGGAAGGCATTTACACTAGGTAATTTTATGTGATGTCCACAGCAGTTTTATGGGTTATCATGCGGACATTCCTTTCTCTAAACAACTTTCCCCCTGTGGTTCTAGAGACTAGAAAATGTTGGCCATGGCATTTTATAAGAAAGTCCATTAGTCACATTTGTTACCCCAATTTTACTAATTACCTAGGTGAGTCTGCTTCCTTCTATAGTTTTTCATTATTGGCTGGAACAAACTTCAGGTTGCAAAATCCGTACACCCTATGAGAACTGTAACTTGAAGAAAGAAGTGGCATAGCCTTTGATGCAGTTAATCACCTTAAAGAAAATAGGATGATATGGTTTTCAAAGAAATAATAATGTGTTACTAAGATTTTTTTTCCAGACATAAACGTTCTTATTACCTTGCAGTGAGTGTTTTTGCTACTATAAATTCTGAAGAAGCTATTTTTATGGCATGTGTTCAGTAATAAAATTATATTTCAATCATTGGAGCTTTAGAGGAAACTCAAAGTAGAGTGGTCAGTATTTAAACTGAGTGCAGCTTTCTCTGATTTTCAAAAAATAGGAATAATTGTTACAAATTGAAAATGAGTAAATTCATCTAGATGAAAAACAGAACAATTGTGCTAGTATAAGATTGGATCTAATTGTTTGGTGAATGGAATTTTGTTCCTAACAATGTTCTAGTGCAGTATGAAGGAGAGATTTTTTTAAAAAAATCCTGCTTATTTCTGTGTTGTGTTTATTCCTGCAGTTCTGGAAGTTAGGAACAGGAGAGTGATGAATGTTCTGAGCATTGTAATGAAAACAATACATTGGTTGAATCACCTCACTTTTATTTTCCCCGTCCCCTTCTTCCAGTAGAAATATATGAATCTGGTAACATTGAAAGAGCAAATCTGTCTCCACCCAAATGAAATATTAAACTTACGTAGAAATGTAAAAAACTTTTCTTTTGGTAGCAACATATATTATGCTTTGATTATCTTTTTCAGATAGTCATCTTGATTTTAATTTGCTTTTCATTCTTACTTGTTGCAGGAGTGTAGGTTGTACAGTTGTTGAAATGCTCACTGAGAAGCCACCCTGGGCAGAATTTGAAGCAATGGCTGCCATTTTTAAAATTGCCACACAGCCTACCAATCCCCAGCTGCCACCTCACGTCTCAGACCACGGTCGGGATTTTCTAAAGCGGATATTTATTGAGGCTAAGTTGCGACCATCTGCAGATGAACTGCTGAGACATACATTTGCACATTATCACTGATGGCCTGCCTCAATCCCTCTCACCTACTGCATTTTTTACTGCACTTTTTTTTATACAGAGTTGAAAAAAGACAAGGGAGAAGTTATTTCTCTTGATTCTTTCTTTCATATAAAATTGTTAAGATCTCTCTGCATATTTAGAATGCAGATTTTTCCCATTTAGAATCTCCTTTGTTTCAGTAATGTACTGATGTGGTTTGCATAAAGCACTTTAGTACATATTCATTCCTTATTTAAGGGGGTAAAGAATTTATTTGGACCATCAGGAATCATGTATAAGGTTTTCCCCATCTCTATTCCCTGGCAAGCACTGCTAATTAACTCCCAAGGCTGGGAAGGTATACATGTCACTAACAGATTCAGAAAAACGGTATATATCCAGTGGTTGCAGTGTATAAATAAATAACAAAGAACTCTCAATTATATTTGAGCTTTGAAATAAGTTTCATCTGTGATTCTGGAAATTCATTTAGAAGCTAGAATCTCAGGTTGCTGAGCAAGGTACATTTTGGAAAATAAATCATCATATTAGCACAAAAATGTAAACCAAATAAGTGTTTTCTGCTTTGAAGATAAGAATCCTGTTGTTTAATAGTGCTAGTGCATTAATGTTGTATATCCAGAATCAGAGATAAACAGATTGCTGTAGTATCAGACTTCTCTAAAGTTAAAAACATGTCCACATATCATGCAACAAACAGATTTCCAGGGTTAGAATCAGTTGATCTGTGAGGAGTCTCTAATGGGTAGAATGAAGTTTATTTCATGCAACATAATTCTGTTCATATTCATTATGAATACGTTTCATATTGTTTCTCCTGTCCCAATTACTCTTCTGGTTCCCTAAAATATTTTATAAGGTCCAGTTTTTTTTCCTCTACTCTGAGTTTTATCATAAAGTACTTAAGGTAGAAAGGACAACAGTGTCAAAATATAGTTTCTCCTTCTGTTGCTGAACTGAATTCTGTGTCTGAGATGCATATTTTATTTATCAAACGTCATTTGCATAATCTGACTAACTTGCACTGTGTTGACTGTATAGAATTAACTTTGTGGGTTGCAAATGCTTTATTTGCATTGAAAAAGCAAGTTTGGTGGAATGAGATCTGGAAGTTCCCATGTGTATCTATACCATATAATTCAGTTCCAGCTGAAGATGAAGGAATATGTAATACAGAAAGAAAAAAAAGTATTTTTTCTGTTCCAATTGACTTTTTTATTTATTTATTTAGATGTTTTACTTTGATTTAAATAATAATAAAGGAATAATCAGACTTGGGATTATTATCCCAATTGTTTCAACCCACATTGGACATCTTAATACAATAGAATGCAATATCATGAGAAACTGTAGAATGTGTGCTTGCTGATTGTCCCTTTTGGATATGTATATCACCAAACAGTAAAAGTAACTGGACAATGGGAAAGATGCTTCCATTTTCCAGAAGTGGTGTTGCTAAATATTACTATTAGTTGTTTCCTAGGCTTTCTGAAAAATGTCTAAAGGAAGTTAAATTATATGAAGATAATAGATACCATAATGTTGCTATTAAACCTGACCAACAATTACATATAAAACATAAGTTACATAAGTATGAATCATAAATCACCTATACAACAACATAAAGCTGTATACGTGATTTATGATTCATACTTATGTAATGTTCCTGGCACCTTAATCATGACTTGGTAACCTGAGTTTACAGTCTTTATTTATTGTTAAGTTCAGATAGATAAAGTCAGTACTTCTGGAAAGCATCTCGTAGACATGCTGGATAGAAGTAGGCAGCCCTGATCCATAGACATTCCCCAACTAAAATGTAATTTCAACAGCAGATCACCAATAAATAGAAATGTATTGTTTCCCCATTTTTTTTATAGAACTAGGGAAATCTTTTAACCTTAATATCCCAAAACCAACAACCACCAAAGAATTGTACAAATGATAATCCTAGCGTTATACATTTTGGTGTTGTTGCTGCCCTGTTGATTGCAGCACTAAGCTGCAGCCATTAAATATGGCTTTTGTTGGAAGTTGACCATACGTTGTTAAGAGTAGATGGAACATTGCTTATGCATTAGTCTATAGTTGTGACAGAATTTAAATTGGAAAAGCAAATATGGATTGAACAAAATTGACAGCTAACCCACTAAAAAAAACAATACAACCCATTAATTGATTTGTTTTCTAAGGGTCTTGTTTCTATAAGGGTTATTTTTCTATAGGTGTGCTTAAAATTTACAGTAACATGTAAAAAGGAATCATCATTGTCATGACTCCTTTCCTGGAACCCTTCAGTCTGTTATGGTTCTGTACAGAGCTGTGGTATCCTACATGTGAATATAGGCTGTCTTTTCCTGGTGCCTGTAAGGAAGCTCTGTAAGAGTCTGAATTTGCTAAAACTTCCATCAAGCTATAGCTATGCAAATTATGTAAAACATGAAAATGTGCATCACTAGGTCCCAAGTAGACTAAAAGGAGAGACCACAAGAGAAGTCCTCCTCCCACCTTTACCAAGTTGTATATGTATATTTAACAGTTTTATCAAAATTCTGTGCTCTGCTCAATTAACAGGGCTTTGAAATGTTCAAAATCTAGCAGTCAGACAATCATTGCAGCCTCTGAGTGACCTCTGAACAGCGCTGTTGCACCAATTCAAAATTGTTGAATGAAAGTATTTGCTCATGTAGACAATTTTGAAGACCAGGTTTAATGAACCTTCCACTTATTTTAGAAGGTAGTGTCTAAAGCAACAATCCTACATGCATTAAGGAATGAGTTACACTGAATGCAGTGATACTTTTTTTTTTTCTAAGCAAATATACATAGGATTAAGCTGTTGGATTTTTTTTTCTCCAAATCTGAGACAGAGCCTTAAATTATTTTTTTGCAGGGAGACAGGAATCAAACTCCATCCAGAAATTTCTAGCTTAAATGGCAACACTAAATCAGCTGTACTTTTAAACAACAATTTGCAAAGTCCCGTTTTAGCTGTAAAACATGAACTTGATACTGTTGGAATAGAATCACTGGCTGCCTCTCCTTGCTCTTTCACTATGTAAATAACAGCCTGTTTATGGTGCTTTTCTGCTATAATTTGATCTCACTTGGATCGGCTTTATCCCCACCATGCCTTTTTGGAGTTTAGGAGCTTGAGAAGCTTAGGACAGTGAGTTGTTATACTAGGGGCAGTGATGGTGATGGGCTTGGCATGCCAAAAATTCAGAAAATGCCAACATTGATTTTGCTGGCATTTCACACTTTCCCCCCTCCCCTAGTCAAAGGGGCCTCTCTTGACTGCTCCCTGGACTCTCCTCACCCTGTGGAAGACACATGAGAGAGTCCTGCTCTTGGAGGGCCTCAGAAAAGAGGGCCTCAGAAAAGAGGGTCTTAGAAAAGAATCACATGAGCCTTGTCGAGCATTCTTGTGTGATTTTCTGAGGCTCCAGAGGCCCTCCAAGAGCAAGGCCCTCTTACACAACTCCTAGAGCAGTGTTTCTCAACCTTGACAATTTTAAGGCATGTGGAATTCTGGGAGTTGAAGTCCACATGCCTTAAAATTGTCAAGGTTGAGAAACACTGTCCTAGAGGGTCTGGAGGCCTGGTGTATCACCAAAAATGACATGGCATGTCATAGGTGAGCTACCTACCACTGTACTAAGGTCTTTTAGGAGTCTGGAACCATGCTAACCTGATTATTAGCAGGTCTCGTGTCCATGTGATGTATGATACTGTGGTAACATCTGGGACAGAGGAAAAATGTAATTATGTAGAAAGTGTTGACTTTCCTCTTGTCCCTGATTTGGGGTGTGAAATAATGTTATTTTATACAAAATAGTAAATGATGACATCAATTGAACTTTGGGGAAGGCTTGTTTCTTTTGACAAGTTATTAAACAAATGCATAAGAACAGCTCATTAATTTGTGAATCCCCAAAAGAGAGAAGGAATGTGAAATTTGCAAACCTCTGAAGCTCTAAAATGTTTAAAAGTAATAAAATCCTTTAAATGGCTGTAATTCTATGGAGTAGACAAGTATGAGAGCGTATTATGTGAAGGAGTAAAAAAAAAAACCTATTATTTGGCTTAAATTCATGCAGAACAAGAAATGTAAGAGTGAAACAATACTTTTTGCTAATAAATTAGAAAAAAACCAGAAATTTAGAGAATTAGAATTTAATATATTCTGAACAGGAATAATTTTGTGATCAAGTTTTTTGAATATGGGTGAGTGTAGGAGTTGCTTTAGGTAAAAATTTGGTGATACAATAGCCCTTTGCCTTTCTAAAGTTATGTGCAATTTAAAATATATTCCTTATCAAAATACCTGAGGGATTTTGGTTATAAGGTTTATTTTGCTGGGTATATTTTTACATATAATTTCTATACAGAACAATTTACAGTGACCCCAAACCTATATTTTAAATGTGTTTATATTTGAAGTAGCATGGGATATTTCTGTCCATGCTATTTTTATTCTAGGGAACTAAAGATACACTAGGGACCCAGAAAATGCAGATGACATTTCCATTTTATTTTGTGCTTTGTTTAAACATTTGCATAACTTTAGTCTGGGTACTTCTATTACCAAAAGGTAATTATGTGATGTTCAAAGATAATGTCTAGTGCAGGTTAAGAATTAAAAAATCTTGTAATGTCCAAAGAAGTATCTTGAAAGTAGGAAGAGTCCAAAATTGTAGATAACGTACCCAGATTGAAGGGCACTGTGCTACTCAAATCCCTAGTGTAGCTGAGAGAGAAAAAGAGAGAGAGAGAGACAGACAGACAGACAGCAGAGTAAGGCTGATAGCTGTTTGTGCCTTCTTTCAATATTGTGTCTTGACAATGGCAATATAAAAGTGCTTTTAAAAAAAGATGGATAAAGTGAATTCCCAAACACTTCTAATATCAGCTATAATGGAGGGAGGTAGCTCAATTGCTAATGGTTTACCTTACGCGACAAGTTGAATGGGTCAGTCCCCAGCAATTTGGCATGTAATTATTGAAGTATAAGTCCATGTTTGGTATGAATTTGTAATTAAAGTTTACAAAACAAAACAAAAACCATAGTGATTGACAGCAAGCTTGCTGTTACAATTCAAGCCAAATTTTGATCATTTTCATTACATTTTCCTTGGA